CCGCCGGCTGCGCCCCGGCCAGCGCCAGAGCCCCGCACCCGCACAGCGCCAGCAGCGCCCACATGCTCCCGCCTCTCGCCTCGCCTCGCCTCGGAAGTGCTGCCGGCGCCGGCTAAGAGCGCGCCTCGCCCTGCCCCGGGCCGCGCTGAGTGGATGGCGGGGCCGCCCCTGCCCCTGCCCCTGCCCCGGGAACCGCCCCGGGAGCTCCTGATGGATCCCAGATGTCTGGCGGCGGCGGGAGGAAGGAGGCGTGTGCGTGTGTGCGGGGCGAGGGGTCCGGATACCAGGCGTGCCGGGATAATTGGAAACACGTCGTGGAGGGATCAGCGCCCGCGGGGGGCGGGACTGCGTGTGTCTGGGTCGGGGAAGAAGCTCATCCCCCGCCCAGCTCTGGTCGGAAAGGCTCTCCCTCCCCTTCCAGCATCAGCAACGGGGGATGAGTGTACCTGTGTGGTGTGGATACGTGTGTGTAGGGGAAGGAGTTAACCCCCCCAATTCTCGTCAGAAATGCTTCCCCTCCTCTTCCAGGTGTGTGTGTGTGTGTGCTTCCCCTTCTCTTCCAGGTGTGTGTGTGTGTGTGTGTGTGCGCTTCCCCTCCTCTTCCAGGTGTGTGTGTGTGTGTGTAAGCCCCCCTCCACCCCCAGTTTGGTCAGAAATGCTTCCTCTTTCCCTCCAGATCAGCAAATGTGTGTCTGTGTGTACCTGTGTGGTGTGTAGGGGAAGGTGTTCACCCTTCCCCCCCAATTCTGGTCAGAAATGCTTCCCTTTCCTCTTCCAGGTGTGCATGTGTGAGTTCACCACCCCCCCTTCAGAAATGCTCCCCCTCCAGAATCAGCAAGCAGCTGTTACTTCCAGTGAGGAAGCCACCTCTTGGCTGTATTTTGAGACGTGTGTTAAATGACTTGGGATTCATTTTCTCTTTTTTTTGGGAAAGAAGCATGTGCCCCAGGCTAGACGCTGCCCTGGGATCTTTCCCCAGTGCCTGGCTTTTGCCGTAGACTCACCCTGTGACCTGAAGCAAAGTTGGGTCACTTCTCTGTGCCTTGGCTTCCCCAGCCTCCAGTACAGAACCAGTTCTGATCCCACTGGTGGTTGTGGTGTACTGTGCCAGTCAGTGGGCATGTCTACATGTTCATTAATGTGCTTTTGATACTGCACATTTAGTTTAGTACTTCCTTAATAAAGCACTAACTAAATGCACAGTACCTGAAATTACTGCGTGGTAGCCCCGACACACAGTTATTTAGGGACGCTTGCTGCACAGTAGCCTAACAACATTGCGCAGTAGGCTATTATCACGGTTTTTGCCATGGCACACTACTGCACATTTTGTGTAGATGTGCCTGATGTTCCCAAAGATACAATTAACATAATGGGCCAGATTCTCACTGGAAAAGGATGTGGTTATTTATTGGGAGAGTTGGTTGGCAACTCAGAATTGGAAGGTGTATAATGAGATTCAGACAAACAGACTGGGGAAATGTATCAATACCTAGACAGCAGAAGTATAGGATATCTTTTGTTAATCTGTTTAAGTCAACACAGAGGGCCAAGGGACCGGTATAAAGCCACTAGTTGTGTTCAGTTCTCCACCTTGGTCTTTCTCTAGAACAGTTTGTGAGAAAGACACTCCCTGTCTGGAGCTCCTGCCCTCATCCAAGCCCTTCTCTGTTTCCTTCTATTTTATGCTTTGGATCACTTCTTGGCAAAAGATAATATTTTTTAACTTACTGACACAGTATCATCCCTCCCTTCCCATCTAACCATTTTCCAGTTCAACCATGCACTTATAATTCAAAACAACTGCTGAACTCTTCCCCTGCAGAAAGGAGCTCAGACCCTTCATTTATTTCACCCAGCTAAGTTGCCTTCAACAGGGCTTATGTTCAGCTTTTCTGGTCCCTTGCTTCAGCTCCTGCTTTCTAATGCCATTCAGTTCTGAACAATCAGTTCTGCTAGGGCAATTTTAAAGGAAATGATGAACTATTTGGTGGTCTCTATCAAAGACGGCGCACTACATTCTAGCCTTCCTCCCTGGCATCTCTACTTATGGATAATTGATGCCAACAACACTCCCACTTACAGTCAGAAAACAAACTCAATTGCAAATAGCCAGTTACTATAAGGACAGAAGTTATCGCTTGATTAGGCAAAAAAAAACTGTGTTGGGAATGAAAGGGATACAAGCATGTAGCTATGTATTATTTTCACATCTATACAATCATTTTCAGCCCAGAATGGTTCACAAATGTATAGCTTTGTTACAGAAAGGCAGCCACTTCTGGAGCCAATTGTCAAGTGGTACACTATACCATCATGAAGAGAAGCAATGTTTTTGTTTGGAAATATAAGTGGCAGATCTTCTGCATTGGTTGATGAAGTGATGTAGGTATACAGCAGTATATAGGAGCAGTGTATAGGGTCCATCCACAGACCCTAAGCAGCCATGTCAGGCTTACAGAAAGCTGCTTTAGAGGGGCAGCTAAGGATTGCTTCTGACACAATTTCTCAAGTGACAGAGCTGATTCTATATTACCTAAACCTGGCTCCACTCCAAAGGGGCAGCAAAAGACCATGGTTTATACCAGCCTAACCGAACTCTTATTTGGCACAGGTGTCCTGTTGGCACAGCAGTCAGCATAACTTAGTCTTAGAGCATCCCTTAGGCTGTTCTGGAACTATGAATTGGAACAACTATGGGCAACTATGAATTGGAAGAACAGGGAAAAAAGCAGTTGAGGAGATCTCTGGGTGCATCTACATATATAAATGCTGCTGGATGGGTTTACTTCAAAGTAATTTACCTCCAGAGTAAACCCCCCCAGGTAGGCATCTACACATGCACGCATTTGGGAACAGATTTGCTGCCACCCTGCTCTGCCCCCCTGCAGCAGCATCTGCGCAGAGTGGGGGCGGAGAGCTCCAAGCTCCCCCTGGGTGCTAGCCCAGTGGCTGGCAGGAAGCACAGGGCCAAGAAACAGCTGTCTCCTGGCAGGGGCTGAGAGATTGCTCCCTGCCCCACCCCAGAACTGCTTGTTGCCAGGGCAGGCTCCAGTGGTGGAGCCCAGGCAGGGGCAATGCCCCCTGCCCTGGCAGCAGGGGGCTCCCAGCCCCAGATCCCTAACTGGGAGCAGGGGACTTGGAAAGAGCTGTCAGGGAGGATGACATGGTCCCCACCTGGGCTCTGGTGGTGGAACCCACTGCAGCAGCAGACAGCTCACAGAGGCAAGAAGCAAATTTCCCAGGTCCTGCACCATGATTGCAGAGGTAGGGCGAGGAGCTCCCTGCTGGTGGAGCATGGGGACATTGTCCCCACCCCAGCTCCAGTAGTGGAGCCCACCCCAGCAGCAGGTAACTCCCAGGTGCAGGGAGCAATCTCCCACCCCCTGTTACCCAGCTGACCAAGAGCAAATTTGCTCCTGGTTGGCCGACTTATGATTTACATATGACATATGGCTGCATCTACACAGGACACTGACTGCGCTATTGTTACTGCACAGTCATATAGTACTTGCATATACAAATTATGAAATGACTGCACAGTAACCAGAGTTACTATGCAGAACCATCACTGAATGGCATTTTGGTGATGCTGACTGTGCAGTAGTTCATTTCTACTGCACAGTAGCATCACAGCACAGTTCATGCCATGCGATGCTACAGCACAGTAATATTGAGCTACTGCACAGTCAGCCTCATGTAGATGTGGCCACTGTGCAGAAATTACTTGGCATTTAATTTGTTACTTGCATTTGCAGGGAGCAAATTAACTGCCAAGTAGAGCAAATTACTATGCACTAAGGGTCTGCATGCATAAAGGGTGATGCTTACTATACAGTAATTTGCTCTATTGTACAGTAAAGCATCTCATGTAGACACGTCCTCAGTGGAGCTGAGGAAGCATCTCTTTTGACTATTATAGTTCTCAGTTTATTCACTGCAGAATAAGGAATTATTTAAGAAGAAGATACTTTCATGATATTGGATGAGTTTACAGGTTTAGAGCTAAAAATTCTACAGTATTTTACAAGGACCATCCTTGCTCTTAGTACCTAAGAAAATCTGCTACATATTCATAGATTTAGTTTCATAGATTTAGGGTCGGAAGGGACCTAGTAGATCTTCTAGCCTGACCCCCGCTATGTTTCAGTGAAGAGGAAAAAAATTATACATATTGGTTCAGTTACTGTTGGGCAGTTATAATATTTTTTTGCTGCCCCTGCTAGAGTGGGAGTCAGCAATACAAGATACTAACTCTGGAAACACAGCAGTTTAGTTCAATCTCAGTTCTGATGAAGTTGTTGTGAAGCTGAAATTCTAAAAGACAGTTGTATATTAGATTCCCTGGACATATGGTATTTGTGAAAAATCATATTCTGCTTCATGGCCAACTGAACAAACAAGCAGTCTAGTCCTATGGTCATTATATCCTGAAAGTGGTTATCATACAAGGTCAAAACCCAGGAGTATGTGATACTGAGAAGAATGAGGGTAGGTTCAAGAAGATTAGGGCA